ATTCACTGATTCACATGACATCTACTGTACTTACATATCCGAACTACGACACAATGTTGCACCTGATAGTAATATATTAACCAAGACAAAAAAAAAAAATATTATTAAAGTTTTAGACGAGCTAAAATAAAAGATCCTCCTTTACTTGTGTGACGTATCGCTATTACTATTCCTCATTACCTAGATTCCAGCAAATTGAATCTAATTGTATCTGACATGTTTGTTTTAGCAGAGCAGGACTTCTCATTGCCCGTTAGGCCTCTCGACTCTGGTCTGAATCAATCGGTTTAGATCAGTAAGTAACTAGTCTGAAGTCACCTGTGTGATTCCTGATGCCTGTTCCCCATTAACGCATGAGGCTGGCGCTGATTCCCATCCGAGAATCCCTTTGCTTGATGTCAGTGTGTTGGGCTGCATGTGTGTGCTGGGCTTCAAGGGTTGTTCAGGTTATTTTGAACCTAATGTGCATGTACAGCTACCACAGACAATAACGTCATTGCTCACGTTTACAGTAATGCAGAAATCTGAGGCGTGCATTTTAATTAAGCACTTGTTCAGTCGAAACTACTGTTTTGGAGGACCTTCCGGTTTTGCTTTGACGAAATTGTCTATGGTGATCGACTGAACGTCTGCACGCACCTTATGTTGAACATAAGATGCACATACCCTGCGATGCACATACACTGTAATGCATGTGTAAGTTTCTGTGGTGTCGAGTCCTATTTGTGTCATGGGTTTTATTGTGTCTAAAGCAATAATGCACAAATATCTCTTTTGGGGAGGAAGGACAAAACAATTGAATTGGTAAATACACGGGTCAATAAATGTGAAATTGTGCAGCTAACGTCGATCATGCTGCAAGATTCTCTTCCACACATTTGAACAAATGTGCGTTCACACTGACAGCGGTTTGCAGCATCAAAGCGTGAGAAATCATTGATCTTCAATAACAGTGTTTGCAATATCTGGCGCATGAGAACGATTTTTGATGACGCCGTCAAGTGACTTTCCAAATACAGCTGGAATTTGTCACTGAGCTGAAACTACGGCTGCACGGTTTTGTAAAACAATGACATTAAAAAATTATATTTTGTGTAATGCTGTAATTTGGAAATTACAGGAATTTTTAATCATTCTAGAATGAATGAGGTGATTTTGTTGGGGAGTTGTTAAGGCTCTGCTTAGAAAATAAAAATTATTTCAAAAAGCTGAAAAATTACTTTTTGCTAACCAAACCTCTATTAGTAACCATAAAGTGAACATATTTAAAAAAGAAAATAATAAATAAATAAAATAAAATTTTAAAATCAGAATTAAAAAAATAAAAATCTTTTCATAGGCCTCATTCCCAATTTTAGACCATTTAAAAATGACTATAAAATAATCAGATTTCTATGTTGATTATTATTAAATACAAATATTAAACAAAAAATAAATATATTGCAATAAATATTTTACATAATTTTAATTAATTTAGATATTAAAATAAATAAATATATTTTAAAAGGAAAAATATTTCATAAAAAATAATCCAACTGTACAATTTTTACGCTAAAAATGTAAAATAATTAAATTTTAAAAATATTTCTTTCAGCAATATAATCTCTTCGTTTTAACCTCTGCCCTCAGCAGATAAAAGAACAAAATGCATGCATTTATAATGTTATTAATAGACATGTGGGATTAATTTTTTAATGACATTATTTCACAAAATGGAAATGTAGTAATTGATGCTTCTAAAGATAGCATAGCAATGTTACTAATAGTCCAGCCCTTACAAAAATTGTCACACAAATTTTTCATCAGGAGAAAATAAAATAATATTTTATAATATAAATTAAAAGTTATACAGAATACCACTTGACCCAGGCCTAAATCTTATGATATATCATCCCTTGCAACCAACAGTTCCCATGATGATCGCTGTGAGTGTGAACGCTTCTAATACAGACAAACTCTTAGCAGCGACTTACACGTCAGGCGTTTCTAATAATTTGCTTTCTTTTGTTTTTCAAGCTGTGAATCCACTGAGACGGAGTGATGGGAAAACAGCCATTGGACGGCGTGGAGCACGAGAAGTGGCGCTCGTATGCACTGAGACACTTCATAACTTCTGATAATCGTCCCGAGCCTCACCAGTGCTGGTACGTTATTGGACCGGGCGACCAGATCACGGATGTAAATAATTTCAAGCGTTTTAATACGCACAACAGAGACTTGCTTCACCACTCCACATTTGACTGATCTGTCTTTAAATAGTAGAGTACTGGCACTACTAATAAAAATCCATTGAGGATTGCATTTTTATTAAGGACTGAGTCCATCTTTTTACTTTGAAAATAAAAAAATAAAACGGTGAAAAAAAAAGAAAGAAGCTGTATTGAATTTTGTAATTTATTAAGATGGTGTTTTATTAACTCAAATTCATATGTAACTGATACGGAAAATACATTAATACAGTGTATAAATGTGAAAATATGTACAGAGAAATAACATCCAACACAATAAACAAATAAAGCTACAAGTGTGAGGGTCAGAAGCAGAGTCTGTGCTTTAGTTCTTTATTCTTGCTAATAAAAAACAAGAACTGTTGTATTTTCCTGGAATTTACGAACTAGTCCCATTAAAAGTCAAATCTGTTGCGGCTTCACCTCTCCTTCTCTTCGTTCAGAGACTTCTCATGACTATATTTCAGAAATTGCATCACGAATAAGGAGAATTCAGCAACTGCTTCTTCTTTTTTTAGTTCTTTAATTCTATTATTGTTGCTAAACCTTCTGAGAAAAGATGAGCTCAAACGGCACAGAGCTGAAAACACAGATGTTTGAATGAGGTGTTACTTCTTATGGTCCCGTTTCTCTCTGTAAAACCAGTATATTAGCACCGCAGCGATGAGCATGTCCATCAGAGTCACACACAGCACCAGCACCTCCATCTGCAGGACGCAAACACACACACCGATAACATCTGACAACAATAAAACAACACAAATGTCAATCTGGATCAATAAATGCTTTTCAAGCTTTATGAGCATGTTCAGGCCAAAAAAATGAAGTTATATTTTGCATAAAGCCTATTTTTTTTAAGATGTTCATATTTATTTGTTATACTACCAGCAAGTTATGCTTAATTAAATATATTGCTGTCATTTTTATGTGCATTATTGTCATGAAAACAATGTCACAATGCAAAGAATCCTAATGATCCTTACAATAGGCTTGATTTTCTTTTTGCTAAATTTTTTATTTTATAATATTTTTACTATATTTTAAAACTATTTTATTTATCAGTTTGATTATATAGATGTTTCCCCCTTCTTATTCTGAGTCTTCAGTCTTTATTTGGCACATAAACTGTAAATAATTAAAAATGTTGACAGTACAGTATTGCTATCAAATTTGAAAACATGTTTTATGCATTTAACAAACCAAGATGCACAAATGTTTGTAACAACAGCGCAAGAATAGTTTGATTCAATCTACCTTGTACTGGATTTGATCTTGACTTGGATGAAGGTCAACAGCTAGAAGAATCACTCCGACCCCAGACACCACCAGACACGAGATGTTGGCGATGAAGCAAGTCTATTCAAAATAAAACTCTTGATGAACGCGTGAACTTTCCAAAGACAGTGTTTGTCAAATGCACACACTAACCTGTAGAAGCACGGGGCTTTTGTACAGAAGATTAGACAAGCACCCAGCCACGACAAACTGGAAGACAAAAGGAAACAGCATTTATGAATAACATTATTGATGAATCAACGGATTATTTGTACATCTAAAATGCAACATTCCTGCATGTGCTGCACAATGAAATATTTTCATATTACAGAAGCAAACGAAGCTCACCATTATTCCAGTAACGATTGGCACTCGGAATAAGGTCAGTAGGTTATTATGGATAACGAATGATGCCGCAAACACCACCCCTATTCCCAAACTCACGATCCCACTGGATATTTGCACGGCCTACATCAGGACAACAGAAGAAAAATAACCTTTACAATCACATTTTGTATGTTGACAAATTCTTGCATCAAAAAAGTATGACTAAAGCTGAATTTACAGGCTAAACTCAACATGGACATTCAGCTTTTCACTTTATTCATTTTTTTTAAGGGTCAACAACAATCCTGTTTTCCCAGGACATTTTATTTAGTTTTTTTATAAAGTGATGAAAATGTCCTGGTTTTCAAAAAACTTCTGGGAAAGATCAGCAAAATATAGATGTGCAAACAATGAGGATGAGGAAGAAAAACAGGATAAATAGATATGAATACATTTTGTTAGTTCGTTTTTGTACGTTTGCGAGAGCTATTTTTGTTGAATTGTAGGTATTTATTTTAGTTATTTATTATACAGAAGTGACACTATATTATTATTTTTGAAACCTGTGATAATAAAACATGTTGAGTAACCGCTGAGAATAGGTTGTCTTGTAATATAACCATTTTCTATCCACATTTACATTTTACATTTAGTCATTTTTATCCAAAACGACTTACAACTGAGGAAAAATAAGTAAAGTTGTAAGTAATTTTCCTCAGTTGTAAGTCTATCCATACAGAGAGGAGAAATGTATTGAAATTAATAAGGCATCTTTGAGGCACCTGTATCCTGGTAATCAAAATATGGTCACCCTAATTCATTTTATTAGTGCAACACACTCTTAGAAAAAAGTGGTTCGTTTTATATAGAACTCGAGGGTTCATGTCAAAAAAGGTTATCTATATGGAGAAATGTCTTAAATAATTGTATAAAACTGTCCTGTTTAGCAGGCTCTTTTCCTCAGGTAATTTCCCCGGAGCTCAAATAAGGTCAGTGAAAGCTGTGCAAGCGCAGGGTGTTGTGGGTTACCGCGCAGGTGGAGGGGCCCTTGCTCAGGAGCCCGTGCAGGACTGGCACTGCGCCCGGCAGAGGCTCATTGGCACGGTAATACTTGACGAGCGGCCCTTCATCATCTCGTCTTCCTCCTGCTGGGTCCTCGTGCCTCTGAATCTCCATCGCGATATCCGCTTTAGCCATCTTCTCAACCGCTACATGAAGACGAACATACTCAAATCAACAAGCAGAAATATGAGGTAACCCAAATAAACGTTGGGCGAAACCATAATAAAGTTGGTAAAACTTTTATTTGTCGATGTGTAGATTTTCATAACATTGAACATCTTCTTGCAGCAAGACATAACGTTAGACACAGGACAAATACAAGACCAAAATAAAATAGCTACTTAAAGTTACAGGCACTAGTTGTACAACAGAGAATTGAGAATTAATATTAGCCCAAGTGCTATAGAATAACGTGCTCTGTTTCTAAAATAGAAACCTTAAAAGCCATAGAAATACAACAAATACGAGTTGAATAGAATGTACTATAAGTTACTGTTTTTAAAGATGCAGCATGAAGCCCTCATTAATATTCATGCTAATGTTCTAACCACAGTCATTTAAATGTTCAGTTTTGTAAATATAATAATACAGCTATTTATTAAGCTATATTAAACCCATAAATGCAAAGCTTCGTGTGTTCATCTTACCGAGCTGAGTCTGTCTTCCGTATTAAAGTGTAGGAAAGATCATCGTGTGTCACTTTAGTGTTTTTTTTTTTCTTGGTACACAACGAGCCACTTTCATGTGGTTGGTCCAAAAAAAAAAAGGGGGAACTGTGGTGTGAGAGCTGATGATGAGCTGCATTTCTCAAAGAAACTTCTGCTATCTGAGCAGAACTTCATCAAGACTTCACACACTTTATTCTCCAAAAGGTAAGAGCATTTATTTAACACTCTTTACCTGAAACACAAACCCCTCTTACAGTGAGAGTCAGAGAGGTCAGCAGGCCTACCCTGAGAAAATGATAACCTAAACATATGATTCATGTGGTTACTTCTACAGGATTTTATTTAAAGAAATAATCATTTAACTTTACTGAATCAACCTAAATATATTAGGTTACACCTACAAAACTACATTTAAGGGTAAGATCAGGTAGAACTACGTAATAATTGTAGATGTCCACTTTTTACTGCGTTGATGTGCTGTGTTTTATTAGACCTAACGATAACTCTTAATCTGTTTTTATTTGCTATAAAGTTGCATATTTACCACAGACTTCCTGTGAACATGTTTGAAACGATCTCATTGTGGGCATCTTCTAAACTGTGTGTGCGAGTCATTTGAGACACTTTTTTATAAATATAGTCTATTCCAAAACTTTAGTTCATTTATGGCTAAAATTATGTGTGGCGTTTTAAGTGAGAATCAACTGACACATGCTTATTTTTATCCAAACCACTAACGTACATTTGTCTGCTCTGACTAATTTATTTCATTTATGAAATATTTCTCTTTTATTACTGTGTAAAAAAACATGATTTTGTTCCTCAGTTCTCCAGTACAAATATCTAAAAACATTCCTAAATTAAGATACATTTACTTGAGAATCAAAAAATTATCGATTTTTGCTTCAAACTAAAAAAAACTGGGGTTTTCCTTTTGAATTTTTCTGACACCATTGGCTGTTTAAAGCATAAACTTACTTCATTTTGATAATTTGTTCAGTAAACACAACTTAATATCTGATGTCATTTTGCTTCTCAAGTAAATGTATCTTGATTTAAGAATGTTTAGATATTTTTACTTGAAAACAAGACATATAAAAAGAATATGTGGAGTATCCTGAGCATTATGTAATCCAGGAAAACTGCAACCAAGTACCTGGAAACATTAAAAGCCATACATGTGCTGTATATTACCTCACAGAAATTGTACATAATGTTTTTGTTGTTTAACCCTCTGGTGTTTTTTTCCCCATTTCAACGAAATGATTGTACTATATTCTAGTTTGATCATATCTTTTATTTATTTATTTTTTAAAGGCAATTAATAGTATACTCAATTATATTTATGCAGTAGTTATAATCCAAATATTCACTTTTTTGAGCATTTTATAACAATAAAAATATTCTGTCAAACATGGCCGACCAGCACTAGTCGACTTCAGTCTCTCCTTCTGTCCACATCTGAACTGCTGAAAGGTGGCACAATCATTTTTGATCCATTATTTTAGATAACAATATTCTTTTCAAATGACAGACAAATGCGGTACACGTTTAAGCCGGATGACTGCATGGTCATCAGCATTCCCCTGGGAAGCGTCAGGGACATGAGAGAGGGCCAGCTGATGCCCGAGAAATTCACCTGCGTCTTCAAAGACACTTACAAGGTTTTTCTGAAAGGACGACCAAAGGAACTCGGGGTGCGTACCAAGATTTAAATGCATAATAATGTCAGATATTCATTTATTTTATCAAGGGGCTCATTTATTTGTGCATTTTTTACTTTACTTTTATTTTTCTTAACATATCTCTATACACCATCACTGTGGATTTTGATGTTGATTTTAGTTTCGTTTTAGTTGCAGAAACACACGCATAACAGAAATTAAGCATGATTTCACTTCTTTTTTTTTTTTGCTGCTCATGTTTTTGCTGGCATATCTGGGCCGTTTCATCAGATTCAGTGGTATTTTCGACCTGAATGCTGGTTGATTTGTGACCTTGGTTTCAACAGATAAGCATTTATATGCCATCATTTTACATTGGTTTCCCATCCACTAAATGCAAAAACATATTTTATATTTTTATACTATTATACACACAGTGGGGACCAAAAGTCTGAAAACACCAGTGAAAATGCCTCTTTCCATTTTTTTCATAACATGTCAGTATTTGGTGTGTTTATCTTTTGCTGGAGCTGCACAAAACCTGATGATTATGTTTACGATTTGAGGATATCTGACCATCTGTGCAAAGAGTCACATGATCAATCACACTCATTTACTTACATTTCATCTATAAATATCTTAGTTTACTTTGGTCACACTTTAGTTTAGGGCCCATTTCTCACTATTAACTATAACTTTTGCCTCAATAAACTCCTAATTATTGCTTATAGTATTGGATAGGATTAAGGGATGTAGAATGTCATGCAGAATAATATGTGCTTTATAAGTATAATAAACAGACAATATTCTAATATGAATAGTAGTAAAAATTGGACCCCAAACTAAAGTGTTACCTGTAGTTTTACGTTCCTGTTCAAAGTATTAACTTCTTGACTGTATGTAGTTTTATGAGAATAATGACTGTATGGATGTTGTTGATGTTTCAGGCGGCTCAGCTCAGCATCGGTGCGTTTGTCATTTGCATCGGCGTCCTCATTGCTCTTTATTATGGTTTTGCTCATTTAGTGTACACCCTACCTAGTGCCCTGGTAAGAACATAGCGACCCTCTTTCTATTTACCACAGCTCATTTTTTGTGTATGTTTGTATTCGTGTAAACACACATACATCTCACAATGTCTCTGTTATTTAGTTCATTGCTACTGGCATTCTGACATTTGCAGCTGGGAAGTCTCCGTTCATGCCTGTGGTAAGTGATCATACATATATAACAAATACAAATATATATATATATATATCTTTTTTATCATGATGGAAACTGAATTGAATCATTTATCTTCTTGTTCTGAAAGATGAAACTGTCCTTCGCATTCAACATTATCAGCCTTTTCTGGTCCATCGCAGCTCTAGTTCTCTGCTCGCTGACAAGCGAGGTAGGCCTATGTGTCATTTGTCATTCTTTACACATGTACTGTATAAATTGGAGCGCTGTGCATATATCTCACTGATTTACTTTATTTTTTACAGGGTTTCTACAGGAGCACAGATGACATTTCAAAGGTACCGTTATGTGCTCATAGCAAACCTGCACTTACACTGTAAAAAAAAAAATATCTTCATGATTTGTAATCACAACATTTTTCTTAGATAACATTTTTCAGGTAACATCATATTTTGAGTTTCTGATGATTAAATCAATCTCCTTCACTGTATTAAAGGAGTAGTTCACTTTTGAAAAAAACTTTTGCTGATAATTTACTCACCCCCATGTCATCCAAGATGTCCATGTCTTTCTTTCTTCAGTCGAAAAGAAATTAAGGTTTTTGATGAAAACATTCCAGCACTTTTCTCCTTATAATGCACTTCAATGGGAACCAAACGGTTCAAGGTCCAAAAGACAGTTTCAGTGCAAACTACAAACTGTTCAAAGGGCTTTGAATGACACCAGACGATGAATAAGGGTCTTATCAAGCGAAACGATCGCTCATTTCAAAAAAAATATTATAAAGTTTTAAGTTTTATAAGCTCAAATGCTCGCCTTGCTCTGTTCTGTGATGCACGTTCAATTCGATTCTATCTCCAATTCGAACTTGTTCTTTTTCCGAGTCATTTGGTTTAATTAACGAACGAAACGAAAAAATTGGCTCAGAAAAAGATTTGTTCATTTTGATGAACAAGTTCAAACTGGAGAGTCACGAACATGCATCGCAGAACAGAGCAAGGCGAGCATTTGTGCTTCTAAAACTTAAACTTTGTAAAAAAAAATTTTAAATGAGCGATTGTTTCGCTTGATAAGACCCTTATTCATCGTCTGGAATCGTTTAAAGCCCTTTGAACAGTTTGCACTGAAACTGTCTTTGGACCTTGAACCGTTTGGTTCCCATTAAAGTCCATTATATGGAGAAAAGGCTGGAATGTTTACATAAAAAAACTCAATTTCTTTTCGACTGAAGAAAGAAAGACGTGGACATTGAAAAGTGAACTGCTCCTTTAACTCAATTTTTCCATTTCAATGAACTTAAAGTTTGAAGGCAACCAGGTTACTTCATTTTTTAAGTTAAACCAACAATATTTTGTACAGTGCTGATGTTACTAATCATGTGCACATTAATTTACTCACTTTTTATCATTGGTTTCCGCCAGAACCATATGTTTGTAGGGCTGAGGGTGGTGATCGGCGTGCTGTGTGGGTTAGAGTTGATTCTGGCTCTGGTTTTGATCTTCTGGGAGAGTAAAGCTGTATGCAGATCTCACTTTAACACACTGGTAAGTTTGAAATCAACAAAACATGCTGAACTACTGTATCAAACACTTTGAAAACTCATTTTTTTCTTATTTCAATACAGCCCATGATCACTATCAAGCAAGGCGTTTGATTGGACAGTGAGATCGAAACACTCTGAGGCGTGGATTTGTGTTTAAGTGCATCTGTGTATATAGTTCCCCTTTTGCCTGTTGCTCAACTTTGCACATTTGATTCGCAGTGAGCGTGTGGATAGAGCAAACGCTTATATTGAATGCAATGTAAATCGCTTTTGCCAAATGCATTCATGTAAATGGTGAATTTTCTATTTGCTCACTATTAAAGTACTCTTTTTAAAATTTCAGTTTAAAGCTTTCTGCAATAATGGATAATCAAAGCTGCTGTTTTTGTGCAACACACACACATTGTATCAAATATTTAATTTCTTTTTATGCATTTTTTATTTATATTAATTACAGTGTACTGAAGAAATTATGATAATTTAGTTTTATTTGCAAAAAAAGTATTATTTTAGTTGTTTTAATAATAAATACTTGCTAAAAATCATCATACTAATAGAACAAGAAAGTATAGGTTTTCATTAGAAGTGTGAAAGATATTTGCTGCTTTGACTTTTGTGAGCTTGTGTTTGTGAGTTCTTTAGTCAAAACCACAGTTCCTGCTGTTGACCATGAAGATGTGTGAAGTTCAGGGGGCGTTAAAATATGAAAAACAACCACAACAGACTCTAATGCAACAAAATAATCCTCAAAAATCAATAAAAAAAAACATAATGCGCATCAGGCCTGTTCGAGCACACCTATGTAACATACTTTAGATGTCGAGTGGTTTGCTGAATTTTATTCTAACGTAAATATAACTCAAGCCTGAAAAAAACATTTCATCACGATCTAACATAAACAGATACAATGACCTCAACAAGCATTTGGACACTTCCGTCACGCTAGTGTCTGAATGCCACTGCTTTTCAGTGTTGGGTAAGATACTCTTAAAAAGTCATTAATTACTAACTTACTATATCTTCAACAGTGTAATTATATTACTGTACAATTTTCTCTAAAAGTATTGCATTATTACTAATAACTTTCTAAATCCCATATCAACCTCAAACAGGACAGACATGAAACTGCTTTTAATACTTAATTAAAATTACACAAATCACTCCTGAACTGACCTTAAATCATTAACAATGTGCAATATACATTTAAATATATATTTCATTTTTTTTATTTTAACTGTTAATTATTAGTTCATATTAGCTCAGGTCTATTAAATAATATTAACAGATAGCCTACAAATTTTGATTTTAATAAAGCATTAGTAAATGTTGAAATTAACATCAAATATGAACAAGTGCAAGTAGGCCTATTGTTCATGTTAACGAATATGAATAAATGGATCCTTATTGTAAATGTTCCCGAACAATAATCAAGAATCAGGGCATTATCGAGGGTATGGTTTAGTCCAGAATGTAAAAATGTTTAGGCCTAAGTGTAAACAACTGTTTTAAAATAAGTTATTAAGTTATTAGTCTATTAAGTTAAGTAAAAAGAAAAGTTTTTTGCTGTTCAGAAACGATGGGGACGGTGGGTAACGTTACACATGACACCAGGGTAACACTCAGCAGCTTCTGTCAACATAGAGCCCGCATACTTTGATTTGATTATCATCATGATCTAAAACATGATCTCATTTGACATTAATGAGCGCGGAAAGATCACATCAGAACATAAAGGTTGGTTATCTTGCCGTTGTGCAATATCTGTGCAGCACTAAAGTAAAGTTAATATTAGTAAATTATTTCACTACTTTTATTATAGGCTACACCTGTTGATTTTTACTTTACTTTTTCAAGGGAGAAGTAATTCAATTACTGTAATGAATTACTTGCATTACACCCAAAACTGATTACATACAAATATCGATTATTGTAAAGAAAGTTTACAAACCAAATATTTGACAGAAAGATTTTAATGATATTTTTCAAAACAAGTGCTGTTTTTAATGCATGCTAAAACGCTGGGTTGGTTCAATATTTGAGGCAAATATAAAAAAACTTTTTTTCTCCACATTTTTAAATACAATTTTTAAGCCCAACAGTTGGGTTGGTCATTATTTTACCCAAAACTTTTTTTTAGAGCTGTGTGTAAAAATCCACAGTATATGACTTATAATATTGGCTTACACAAACTTTTATTTTGGATGCGATTAATCGCAATTAATATTTGCATGCAATAAATAAATAAATAATATATATATATATATATATATATATATATATATGAAGAGTTCAGATGCAAAAGCCTCTAAATGCCATTTGAAATTTTCTTCATTAATGATGATTTTTGTCAAACTTGTATATTTAAGTTCAGTAATTTCACTTAAATAACAATTAATAGGTAATTATCATTGCCATTTAAGTGAAATCACTGAACTTAAATATACAAGCTTGATAAAAATGATCATTCTAGAAGAAATTTTCAAAAGGCACTGAGGCTTTTGCATCTGAACTCTTCATATATAATTTATTTATTTTATATATATATATATATATATATATATATATATATATTATAATTGCATTTACACGCTAACATTGGAATAAGTATATTATATACTTATTCCAATGTTGGCGTGCAATACACACACACACAGGTGTGTTATTCAACACAGCAGAGTGACCTTGAGCGCGTGAGAAACTCGAACAGCGCTGTATTTTTGGCCCATTTGGCTTGCCATAGCGGCTCTACGCCTGCCGCTGCATGCACACCAATGAAAACACACGGAATTTTCTGTTTTCATCCAAAGTGTCTGCCATCTTTCTGTTTCGTACATGCATCGCTCTTTTACTGTCTATGTCTCTGAGGCTGAGCAGCTGATAGTGTTCATGCATTTGCCGTGTGCAGATCCGGAGAGCACACATGCATGGCCGTCATTCGTGCAGCAGACGCCAGAGAGAGAGAGGGGGAGACAGAGAGAGAGAGCTGCTAACAACATCACGGTAATCAAAGGTGAATCCGGGACAGAGAGGAAACACGCCAATCTGCTGATCTCACGTGCATGGCTTCAACGTTCGGCTCTCGGACTCTCAGTAAACATGATGTGAATTACAGAATGCATTTCCGCATGATCAACGAACAGCAGGTGGAGGACATCACCATCGAGTTCTTCTACAAACCACACACTATCACCCTGCTGACATGCACCGTGCTCAGCCTGATGTACTTCGCGTTTACGCGGTGAGTGACGCACAACGCTAAAGCCACAAAGAGTTGCAGCAACGGCATGTTACTATAGCAGCACGCCATTTCAGTCCGAAATCTGTCTTTTAGTGCGTGTCTGTTGTTTTGAGGTCACCTATATGCGGGTATATTTCTAAAGTCGACAAAAACGATCTTCTATCGAAGTGCGAATATCACTTCCGGGAAAACGGACAAAAATATTGATGACGTCATCGTGCACTCGGGGAAATGTTTTTGTTCGATAAAATGCTTTCTAGAAAGACAATGACCCCCTCCTGATACCACCATTTTTTACAAGTAAGCAACTATGGTTCATGTCTGTGATGTAAACAGGAGACTTGGTTATATTATAATATATTAATTCTTAGGTCGGAATGAAACAGAAGTTGCAATAGTCTTTTTTTTACCCTATTGTGACATATAAAAATGAAACTGCTTCTGAAACAAGAAAATTTTTTTAGGGTGGTTATGTCCATCAGAAAGAATGATTGGATGGTTGTGGTTTGCTATTGGTGGATCTCGTGTGAGTGACCGGTTGCCCCGCCCTCGCGCCAGTAAACACATCATCAGAGAAGAGATGAGCTGCAAGAGGGAGGGGAAGTTATTCAGAATAAAGATTACGAGGCTCATTAATCAATTAAACAACCGTAATTATGTACACTGATTAATTAATTATAATAAATACTGCAATATTCATTTAAAAAAAAGAATTGTCAATTTTAATTTTATGATGGTGACTTCAAGTTGGCAGATTTTGGCCCCCCTTTGTGCTGTCTTAATGCATATTACTGGTCTTTAATGTAAACAATTGGTATGTGCATTTTTATTTTTTTATATTACCAAGTCCCCACCTTGCTTTTCCAGCCCTACAAATTAGGATGTATGCCACAATATGGAAGAAAAGATCCATCGCTACTTTTTATTTCATCATGACATTAAAGGATTTTGTGCACCTGAGCACAGGCGGAATATGTGGAAAATATTTGTTGAAAGCAGAAGTGGTAGTTCTCCATATTTTCAGTTCTGGAAAAGTTAGTTCTTGAAAAATTATTTATGCTTTTGTTTTGAAATTTTTAATAAAATGACATTCAATTATGTGATGTGTCTGACTGCGTGCATCTACTGTTTTTTTTTTTTTTTTTTTTTTTGGTGTGTGAGGTCGATTGTGAAATAGAAAGAGGAAGATTGTCTGTTTGTGCTGGTGTATTTGTGTGTGTGACCACATGTTTCCGTTGCAGAGATGATGGAGACCATGACAATAACCTGTGGGTGGGTCTCATCCTGGTCATCTCGTTTTTCTTGATCATCAGTGTTCTTGCCTTCCCAAACGGTAAGAGTCTTGAACTTGGGCTGTTATCGGAGAGCTTCAGCTTTCAGGCCATAAGTGTTTTATGATCATGGTCACATGATTCTGTTCAGATGCATAACTAAGGCTGCATGATATTGAAATTGCAAGATGCATTAGTGCGGTCATGCAGGCTACGATTTAATTAAATAAATCCCTTCTTCAGAGCCAAGGAACTGTAAATGAACACCGTGCTGAGCTTAAAGGAACACTCCGACTTTTTGGGACTTTAGCCTATTCACCTTACCCCCCAGAGTTAGATAAGTCCATACATACCTTTTTCATCTCCGTGCGTGCTATAAGTCTGTTTGACGCACCCACCGCTAGCCTAGCTTAGCACAAAGACTGGATGTGAATGGTTGCAGCTTTCATACTAATCCAAATGAGTGACAAAATAACGCAAACGTTTTCCTATTTACATGTTGTGGTTTGTATAGTCACAGAGTGTGCAAATATCAAGGCCATATGAGACACAGACATCTTTTGACCGTATAAATACTATATTTTCTGAAGGGGAAGCACTGCTACTTGGGCAGAGTGATAACAATCACCTGAGACGCGCCGTGACGAGGAGCAGAGAGTTCGCTTCGCTCAGCGTTGGAATAAAGAGTCAGCAATTACTAACGTTAGATAGAAAAGCATAGTTTATCATGGGTGTTTGCTTTATGAGCTGTGACAATAAACAGGGGAGACCAGGTAATACAGTACCATGTTTCATTGATTTCCAACCAAAAACGCACCCAGATTTATAAA